TTTTTTTTTTTTTATTTACGTTTTCCGGTAATTTTTTTATAGAAATTTTTATCATAATGATTTGAAAAAAAAAAAAAAAACGTTAAAGTTAAAAACAAATAAAAAAAAAGGGAAAAAGAAATAAATTATAATTTAGTGTGATTATTTTCCATTTGTTATTATTATTATTATTATTTTATTTGTCGGATTTGCAAAGTGATTATTATTTTTAAAAAAATGGTTTCGGATCGAACAAATGGAAGCGCTATGGAAATGGGACATTCGAGTCAGGTGAGTTTTTGTTTTAATTTTCCTTTGAATTTTCTTCGCTTTTTTACGAATTTTCTTTAGCATTTTACATAATTTTTTATGTATTATTAAAAGATTTACATTTGTTAATAGTGAGTAAATATGGCGTGTATGCGTGTGTATGCACGTGCTCGCGAGTGTCCTACTACACTAGTTTAAATATAACTTTTTAAAATTTTTATTTAAAAAAAAAAAAAATTCTCTTTAATTAAACAAAAACTTGTTTTACAAACAACCTTTCTCAAATTCGATACATTTTTTTTTCTTTTTAATTACTTAAATAATAAAAAAATTGAATAACGGTTTTTATTACAAATAAAACGATTTTGTTTTTATTACAAAAAAAAAATTTTTCCAACGAGTTTTTATAATAATCAACGTTTGCATTTAAACAAAAACAAAAACAAAAATCATTTCCTGTCGTTTGTTTAAACAATTTATATATAGAAAATCATCATCATCATCGAATCGAATGAATCGAAATAAAAAAAAAAAAAAAACGAATGAAACAAATAACATTGTTAAAAATAAATTTAACGGTTCAATTGTTTAAAAAAAAAAAATTACGTCAGGTGTTATAATTAAAAAAATTTTTTTTAACGACATTGAACCTAATTATCAGAGCCTGCATTGAAACAAAAAAACTTTTTTTTTTTTTTAAATAAAAATAATGTCTCTTATCGTCGTCATTTTTGAATTATTATTATTATTATTGTGTTGAAACGAAAAAAAATTTTTTTTTTTTTTGGAAATTTATTTAAAGAGAAATTTTTGGAAACGTATTATCGTCATCATCAATGGAAAAACAAAGTTTTAATCAATAAATCGAGTTACAAAGTTAAAAAAAAAATGAATAAATCCTTTTTAATATCCCCCTTCACCCTACTCCCCCCTCTTTTAAATCCTTTTTTAAATCCTTTTTTTTAAAACCTTTTTTTTTTTTTTTTTTTTTTTTTAAATAAGAAAAATATATTAAATGTCACGTTCGATTAAAACGAGTTTCGGGGGGGGGGGAAAAAAAAATTTCAAAACGATACTTAAAAAACTATAAAAATAATAATAATAATAATAAATTATTATATTGTATTTATATATTGTTTGTCGCTGCCATTTTTAAAATAAAAAAAAAAAAATCTTGATTGAATAAATAAGATTTTTGTTATGAGATGCTGGTGATGATGATTGTAAAAAAAAAGCTTTATTTATTTATTTATAAATAATAAAATGATTCGTTATTATTATTATTATTATTTGAATAATTATTATTGATTGAATAAATATGCTTAATCACTTTGATAATGATAATAATAATAATAATAATAATAATAATAATAAGTAAATAAGAAAGGATTGATTTTTTAAAAATAAATTTGATTGAGTTATGATGAAGTCTTTCTCGTTTCCTTTATTAAAAATAAATAAAAATAATTTTTTTAAAATTATTTTATGTACATAAAAGTTTAATGTATACGGTAAAGTATTTTTTTATTTATTTATAAAAAATCAAAATAAATATTTACAACAACAACAAAAAAATTTTACTTTAAAATGATGATGAAATAATATGCGAAATTAATTTTTAATGAGTTTTTCATGCATAAAAAACGTTTTTTTTTTTTTTTTTAAAACAAAAAAATTCTAATTTAAAAAAAAAAAAAGTTTTCATTTATGAAAAATAATAATAATAATCATTATTATATCCAACAATATATCTCATGCTAAAGAAATTATTTTTAAAAAGTTATACTATAAAAAAAATTGTCATTAAATAATTACATACGTTAATAAATTATAGGATAGAGAAGGAAGAGGACGAAGGGTTAAC